ACCCCAAGGTGAAAACACAGGCCCAGCTCTCCGGTGCAGATGACCAGTCTTCGGAGTGTGGACACAGGAAACAAAGTGGGTCCCTAAGGCCACCACGCCTGTGCTCATGCCCTGAGGGACATTATTGAAAACACCTATGTCCTTTGAGCAAATGTTAAATGTGAGGTTGCAGAGTATTGGTTTAGTGATGTTATCTAAAAGGAAAAAAAAAAAAAACCTGAATTCCATGGGTCTTCTTTTAAGGGCGTCTCCAAAGAACTCAACTATGAGACAAACACGCACATTTATTTCAACCGTCCAGATGAGGAAATTCTGAAATTCAGCCACTGCTTTCTCTCCCTACAGTCTACCCCATCAGAACTACACAGTGCAGAGACTCACTTTCTGAAAGGAAATCAGAGGCAACCTTACACGAACTCTTGGTGGAGAGTAATCGTGAGGCAGCACGGAGGAGTTGACCACCTCGGAAATGTTCCCAGAGGTACAGGTAGTACCGATTGGAGAGCTGGCATGCATTAACGGACACTCATCTTTTCTCTCTGCATCTTTTATTGTGTCACTGGCTGGAGCTATCAAGCTTTTTAATTTAAAATCTAATAAAGAAAAGATTAAAGAAAGAAAATGACTCCAGAATAGGAAAACTAGCCTCACATGAATGTACAGCCTCTCTCTGGTTCGGACCCTCCATATTTTCAAGAGAAGTTAAAGCTAAGTTAATTAGCTCATTATTAAAAAATGTAACCATTACATTTTCTGACAAAGAATAGATATTTTATGGCTCAGTTCCAATTATTCCATTACTAATTCATGAGTAGAGGTTTCATCAATACTGAGCACTAAATAGTAACTAAAATAAAACACCGTAAACGGAAGTCAGCCAGCTTCTGACTGCATTTGCATAAAGACACTTTAAACCAGAGGAAGGACCACAGTCAGAAGGAAGAGCGTGACTCCGTGCAAACGCAGGAGGCCGAAACAGCACTGACTCCACTTCTGCCAGAACGCCTCCGATATCAAAGAATCTGCAATCGAGCTCCTAGCAGAGGAAAGACTTGATCTTTAAAATGTAAGTCAGCTGATGGGCTACTTTAACTCACTTAAGAAGCAGGCTCTTTCCTGGACACCGCTGGCAGGGGCATAAACCAGGTCCGTTTCAGGACAGCTGGCTTTCACGGGCCGTTCGCACTAGAACTGACTGTCCAACAGCGCAGAGTGCGTTGTCAGGCCTCCAAAATGATATCGATGAATAACAAGAAATGAACACTCAGTTAACAGTCATTACATGCCAGGTACTCTGAGAGCTAGCAACAATGCCACAAGGTAAGCAGCAACATTACTCTCGCCAAGTCCTAGATACGTGAAATTATGGCCGAGAGTCAAGTCACTTTGGGACCCCAACCAGTCAGTGGGGAAGCTGCAATCTCAACCGAGGCGGGCTCCAGACGTAACAGAAACAGTAGTGACGAAGGCAAACATCGGCAATAACAACACGACTCACTAATAATAGATAAGTAGATTACGACAAACTACATATTCCCATACGACTGCCTTCCATGGAAGAATAAAGTCACAAGCTGTATTGTTGAACTGTGTGAGAGAGAAGGGTAGACAGGGAGAACTTGAACACCTTTAATTTATGAGTGAAAGTTGGTAGAAAAAGCAAAACTAAAAACTTAAGTAACAAACTAAAAATTGGTGGCAGAAAAAATCTGTGAATATTGGGTTGCCTTAAAACTGGCATTAAGATGTTTGGATGGAACAAAAACCTCACAGATCTTTCTGAGTGACGCGAAGTGACATAAACGAATGGACAGCAGCAAATCATCCCAGGTCACACTTGTTCACGGTCCACAGGGGAAACCGAGGCTCCACTTGATCGGCTCAGCAACGGAAGATGGCAGAGTTTAAGGGGGTGGTAACAGACGCAGTCCAACGGCGGAAGAGAAATGACCTTGGCTACAAGCAAGGAAGGTGGCCAGAAGGTCAAAGAATCACACCTACTGATGCAGTAAGACTGAAGGTGAGTAGGAATTCAAGGAGAACAGGAATGACAGTGCACGCTGTCGCGAAGAAGACTGCAAGATGAAATAGAAATGTCCGCCTCGGACAGACTGGAAGCGTGAAGACATCATTTACGGGAGCACAGTCGGCACCGAAGCTCCCCACTCGACAGATGATGCAGATGCTGCTTCGGTAACCTGGCTCGAACCTCCAAGTTTGCTTAGGCAGGTTAGCTAGGCGAGGGGAGAGCTACTGTTACCGAGAATATAAAGTCTGAGAGTAAAACGGCTGACATGATTTAAAGGCCAACAAAAGTTAAAACACCACGAGTGACTAGCGCTGAATTTGAGATTCACGAGCAGAGAAGGCACACGGTGGCAGGGCAGTGACACCTAAACTCCCCTTCCGGACTCCAAAGAAAGAACAGAGGTGGGAATGCAAACCTATGAATAGATACATTATGCATATTTGCTCCCAAATGGCAATTCTTTTTGACAAATCACCTATGTATGAGCCTTGTGGCATGATTCCAAAACTGTAACTCCGGGCCCCGGCTGGTGTGGCTCAGTGGATTGAATACCAGCCTGTGAACCAAAGGGTCACCAGCTTAATACCCTGTCAGGGCACATGCCTGAGTTGTGGGCCAGGTCCCCAGTTGGGGACGCATGAGAGGCAACCACACATTGATGTTTCTTTCCCTCCCTTTCTCTAAAAATAAATAAATAAAATCTTTAAAAAAAAACAAAAACAAAAAACCTGTAACTCTGGGGTTCTTAACAGCTGGCTCCATCACAGATATTTAAAAGAACTAAAATTTCTAAAACAGCAGTTCAGAAATCACGTTAGCACAAAAAGTGATATAATTTCCTCATTTTTGCTGGGGGCGGTCGATAGATAGAAACTGTTCCATGGCCGAGTACAGTATAAAAGCTAAACCTACCAGAAGGGAAAAAACATTAAGTCGGCAACCTGGAGCCACAGATGGCAGCAGCACTCAGGAGCGTGGTGCAGCTGAGTCGCGCCCCAGTGCTGGATAACGAATAAGGGGCTGCCTGGAGCTGGTGACGGATCCCCCGAGGAAAAACGACATGTTCACGCTACAGCTTGAGGTCTGTGCTAAAACCTGCCAGACCAAGAATGAAACCTTGCACAGTTCCACGGGACACCCCCACCCTGTAGCCTGTTGAGGACGGCGCCCCCCACAGTTGCGCTGACCGCCTGCCACCCTAACCCAGCCACGCTGGTCCTAATGGTTTATTGTGCTTAACCAGGACTTCGAGGGTTTCATGATAGACATTTCATTCTTCCCTTGTTACCACCTGCTTAACTTTCAAATGGTCTACAATGCCAAAAGTGCTGCCTTAGCCAAATCTTGTTTTATTGAAATAAAATATAATGGATGTATTTTTCACATGAGCCTGTCATGAGCTGGTTTCCTTTTTTATTAACTGAGTAGCATGAGCTCGTGACAACAGTGACAGACAACACCCGATGACTCGTGACACAGCCTCTGAAGCCCTGAAACGTGAGCCCCACCATGAAGGAGCTAAGTCCTCATCCTGTCTCTGAGGACAGCAAAGGTTGGTAATCTGTGGCCTTTACAACGTGACTCTGTGGGGGACTCCACACAAAATTCATACTCGTTCCCCAGGAGTTCAGATGAGATTTAGCACAGCCAGGGAAAGCAGGCAGCTAGTCAGTCTCCTACTGAATGCCAGAGTTTCCCAACCTTTTCTCCGTGGAGGATTAAAAGGGTCCCACGGTCAGTTGAAAACGCCACCGCTATCCGCCTGGGAGCATCGCGATGCCTACCAGCGCCCTGAGGCTCTGAGAAGCCCTGCAGTGAGGAAACTGGCTTTGCTGCCCCGGTGTTTTCCATATCCGTTGTGTACAAAACCAGTTTTTGTTTGTTTGGTCTAACAGCAGTGATATTGGGTTGGCCATAACTCTTGTTTAGTTTTTTTCTATGAAATAAGAGACACATTTTTCATTTCACCAATAACTTTATTGATTTGGATATTTTTACTGTGTTGGCTGTCTCCCACTATTGGCTTCTAGCGGGTGGAGGCCAGGGGTGCTGCAAAACATCCTCCAAGGCGTAAGACAGCCCCACGGCAAAGAATTATTTGGCCAAAATGTCAAGTGTTGAGAAACGTCGCAAACCACTTTTGACACGTTCGATCAGTCACAGCACCTTCTCCATACACTGCATAAATCTTTTTTTTTTGCATTTCAGTTGCATTCTTACTTTTCTTAAAATAATAAAGCATAATATACCAAAATGTCACGTATCTTCTTCCATCTTCAATATTAAAGGGCTACATAAAAATTCACCAATTTTGATGTTTTTTTTTAAAAAATGCACAGTGACAAGACAGCTGTCACAACACAATATCACAGTAAAGTTGTTTCAAATGAAGTTAAAGACAACTAAACACTAGAGCCATCGTATAGGAAAAAACAAACAAACTTTTTGGCCAAGCCAATATAAGAAGAGTTGGGGAAATGCCACACAAAGATTACCATACAGATGTATATTTATTATTCGTAAACAAATTAAAATATAACATCCAAACCTAAAATGAGATTTACGTGATGACTGGGGAGCCCCAAAGGAAACTGCAGGGCCTCGGGGTCAACAACTGCTGATTGATGGCTTTGCTTGGTAACATGACAAGGAAAATACCATTTACTGTACACTCAGGGGTGCCAAAAGCAAAGGACGAAAAGCCCGTTTTATATGGTGCTCACTGTCACCTAGCACATAATTCTCATAAAATGGATAAAAACATCCATACTTGGACTGAGAGCATTTTAAACGCTCAGTAAGAACATAACTGCACTTGTTTTAAAACCAATTTATCAGAAAATAACTGGATGCCTACGACTTCAGGAGCTCACAACCTTAACAATACTCTCTCCTCGCGTTACCGACTACATCGAGATTATCTACGGACACCAAAACCACGGCACCTACTGAAGGTTATTACAATACTTACCACATTACAAAAAGAATCCAGACCAATGCTATGTACATACTTAGTACATTCTGGATTAGACCAAGTAAAATTTAACAACAAGCTGAACAGCATTCTATAAAACAAAAACAAAAAGTCAGTTAGGCTAATTCTGTCTGTTTTTCTGTGCTATGGACTCACAGCGAGAAAGAAGACTGTCTTGGAATTTGATGATGGAATCAAATCTGAATTCTTTATCTAAAGCTTATCTACACTTACTTACCTTAAAAGAAGTTCTTTTGGTAACTTTTTGTTAATAAGGCCTTCATCATTATTTGAGAAAACCTAAAAGGAGATAAAAGGGAACTTGTTAGTGTTGCTCATTTTTTTTAAAAAGTTACGTGTTTTTTAGGTCAGAACACCCCAATCACTGTCCTGCAGATGTGATACTAATTTCATGAAGCCACCACACTTTAATATTAACAGCTTTAAGAACAGTTCATATCCTATCACTAGTTTATTTAAAAAGTGGCAAGACAGCCACTTCTATACCACATTGTACTGGAGGTTTCAGTCAAGGTTATTAGGCAAGAAAATAAATAAAAAGCATCTTGATCAGAAGGAAGTAAAACAAACTCTAATCACATATGACAATCTTATACATAGAAAAGTCTTTTAAAATCACAAAAGAAATTATTAGAACTAATCAAGGAGTTGATCGAGGTTGCAGGATACAGCATACAAATACAATATATTTATATAAAAATAAATTGTATTTCCACACCTTAGCAATGAATAACCTGAAACTGACATTTTAAAAAAAAATCTTTTACAACAGCAATAAGAATAATAAAATAGTTATGAATGAATTTCAAGAAATGTAAAACAGATATTGAAAACTTACACAAAGCATTGTGGAGAGAAATTTAAAAAGACAAATACACTCACATCCCATGTTCATGAATTGGAAGACTTAATAGTGTTACGTTAGCAACATTTCTCAAGCTGATCCATAAATTTAACGAAATCTCTATCAAAATGTCAGCTGCCTTTTTATGGAAAAATTGAAAAGTTGACCCTGAAATACGTATGGAAAGGCCAGGGGCCCAGAGGAGCCCCAGTGAAGTCAAGCACTTCCTCGCGATGCCTCGTTCAGGGAAGCACCATGTGTGCAACAGTGGGCCCCCAAGATGGTCACAGAGCTGAAAGATTCCCCTCGCCCTAGCGGCGATGTGGGCCTCGTAACTGTGCAGTGCAGTGCGCTCCTCGAGTCTGTGGGGGTGCGGAGGGCAGTGTTGTTAAGTGCTCGGCCGAGTTACAGAAATGCCCCGGGCCCTCCCACTCAGTCACCATTCCAGCTCACCGCCTCCCCCAGAACAGCTTCCAGTCCTGCACACTGCACTCCCGGTCAGCGCCCTATACAGCCGTACTGTTGGTATCTTTTACACTGTACTTTTTAAAAACTTTATTTCTTTACTTTTAGAGAGAGGGGAAGGAAGGGGGAAAGAGAGGGAGAGAAACGTTGATTGGTTACCTCTTGCATGTGCCCCGACCAAGGACTCAACCAGCAACCTAGGAATCGAGCAGGCCATGTTTTGCTTTATGGGACTGTGCCCAGCCAACTTGAGCCACACCACTCAGGGCTTCGATACTGTCTTCTTCCTGCACCTTTTCCTGTTTATGTTTGTTTAGATGCACAAATACTTACAACTGTGTGACAACTGCGTATAGTATTCAGCACAGTGACACGCTGTACAAGCTCATAACCTGGACCGAATGGATATACCACACAGTCTGGGTGTGCAGTGGGCTGCACCACCGGGAGTTGTCTAAGGTCACACAGTGATGAACTGCCCAGCAAGGCATTTCTCAGAATGCCTCCCCATCATTAAGCAATGCATAACTGTAATCTTGACAAGGAAAAAGGACTCACACTTCCTGATTTCAAAGCTTACTGCATAGCCCTGGCTGGTGGAGCTCAGTGGATTGAGCGTGGGCTGTGAACCAAAGGGTCACCAGTTCAATTCCCAGTCAGGGCACATGCCTGGGTTGCATACTAGGTCTCCAGCAGCGGGTGTACAAGAGGCGACCATGCATTGATATTTCTCTCCCTCTCTTTCTCCTTCCACTCTCTCTAAAAATAAATAAACAAAATCTTAAAAAAAAAAAGCTTACTGCAAAACTACGGTAACTGAAACGCTGTTGTGCGTAAGGACAGACACACAGATCAATGAAACAGAACTGAGAGTCCAGAAGTAAACTTTGTATTTCCAGGCAACTGACTCTTGACAAGCGTGTTAAGGTAATTCAATAGGGGAAAGAACAGTCTTTCCAACAAATGGGGCCAGGACAGCTGGCTATCAACATGCAAAACAACGGAGTTGGACCCTACCTCACAGGATATAAAAAGTTAACCCAAAATTGATCAAAGACCTCAATAAATATGAGTTAAAACTACCACCCTTAAAACAAAACCCAAGTATAAATCTTGGCAACCTTGAATTATATAATGGTTTCTTGGATATGATACTGAAAGTACAAGCGACCAAAGAAAAAACAGATAAATTGGACTTGATGATCGAAATCAAAAACCTGTGTTTCAAAGGGCATCGCCAAGAAAGTGAAATGAAAACCCACAAAATGGGAGAAAATATTTGCAAATAGTGTATCTGATAAAAGGGCTGTATCCAGAATCTATATTAAAAAAACTCTCATAATTCAACAATAAAAAGATAAACCAGTTTAAAAAGGGACATGGAATTTGAATAGACATTTCTGCAAAGAAGATATGCAAATAGCCAATAAATACATTTTTTAAATGTTCCACATCATTCATTAATCTTCAGGAAAATAGAAATCAAAAACACAAGATACTTCACAGGCAGAAAGATGGCTCAAGTCAGACAGGTAACACATAATGGCGAGAATGTGGAGAAATCAGAACCCCCACGCACCGCTGGTCAGAATGTAAAATAGTTCCAAAATAGCCACTCTGGAAAATAGTCTGGCAGTTTTTCAAAGGTTCAACACAGAGTTACTACTCCAACCCTGGGTAACTACCTAGAAGAAATGAGAATGTGGCCATACAAAACCTAGTACATGAGTGTTCGCGGCAGCATTATTTTTAATAGCCCCAAAGTGGAAACAACCCAATGTCTTTATCAGCTGAAGAACAGATAAACAAAATGTGGAATGTCCATACAATGGAAAAGTATTCACCAATCAAAAGGAATGAAGCACTAATCCATAGCACAACAGAAACGAGCCTTAAAAACACTGTGCCAATGGGAGGGAGGTGGGGAGACGGGGCAGGGGGGGCTGGGATGGGAGAAATAGACAAAAAACTGTACTTGAAAAATAACTAAATAAAAAAAAAAACCACTGTGCCGCATGAAAGAAGACGAACAGAAGGCCACGCATTGCATGACTCTGACTCCACAAAGCCTTTCCGAGACTTCATGCTCTGCCTCTTTCGATGCCTCTGCCCCAGTCCCGTCTCTTTCACAGCCACCCCGGGGGCTGGAAGTGGCAGTGGCTGAGGTAGACAGTGACAGGGTAGAAGTGAGACACAAATGACACAGGGACGGCAGACGTCAACATGTAGTTCAACCCACGCCTGTCCATATCTGAGCTCTGGTTGCCCAGACCTGGCCGGGGGAAAGCCAAGTAAATCCTGCAGGGTGTTGTTAGCACAAATAAAGAGTCCGTCATAACATAATAAAGAGGGGGACTTCCGCCAAGATGGAGGCCTAGGTGGAAACACTCTGCCTTCTCTCACTACCAAGCTTAAAAACAACAAAGTTTAAGCAACAAAAATGCAGCCCAACCACAGAAATTGAACTATACGGAAGTCTGACAACAACAAACCCTTCAGCCAAACCGGTAAGAGGGGCAGAGCCAACAGCAGAGTGGGGTTGGGCAGGAAAGATCCACCGGACCGACCCAGGCACACGACCCAGGTGCGCCAGCAGCGGTGGGCGGATCCCAGGTGCGGAGAAGCAGGTGGACCCACTGAGGGCGCAAGGCGGTGGACCTAGTGAGGGCTGATCGCAGTCACACATTCGAGCGCAGATAACCAGCGAAGGAGCGAGCAGTGAGACTGAGACAGACCACACAGGCCCCAGCAGTGGGAAGCAGCAGAGGGGACTGCTTTGTCCCTCTCTGACCCGCTCCCACATAGAGCGTCACAAACCAGCGACCTGGGTAGCCCCACCCTGGTGAACACCCAAGGCTCTGCTCCTCATACCTAACAGGCACGAACAGAGCAAAACATTATGGCTCAAGAAGAACAGCTCAAAGCCCCAGGGCCAATAACTCTAAGCAATGAAGACATAGCCAAACTTTCAGGTGCACAGTTCAAAACACTGGTGATCAGGATGCTCACAGAACTGGTTGATTTTAGTCACAAATTAGAGGAACATATGAAGGCTAAACTAATTGAAATGAAGAGAAATGCACAGGAAACCAGTAGTGGTGGAAAGGAAACTGGGACTCAGATCAAGGGAGTAGGCCAGAAGGAAGAAAAAATTGAACAAACAGAAAAGGATGAAGAAACAAGAATTCAAAAAAATGAGGAGAGGCTTAGGAACCTCTAGGACATCTTTAAACATTCCAACATCCAAATTATAGGAGTACCAGAAGGGGAAGAGGAACAGCCACCAGTGGAAAATTTATTTGAACAAATAATTAAGAACTTCCCCAATCTGGCAAAGGAAATAGACTTCCAGGAAATCCAGGAAGCTCAGAAAGTCCCAAAGAAGTTGGACCCAAGAAGGAACACACCAAGGCACATCATCATTACATTAGCCAAGATTAAAATGAAGGAGAGAATCCTAGAAGCAGCAAGAGATAAGGGGACAGTCACCTACAAAGGAGTTCCCATCAGACTGTCAGCGGATTTCTCCAAAGAGACCTTACAGGCAAGAAGGGGCTGGAAAGTATTCCAAGTCATGAAATCCAAAAACCTACAACCAAGATTGATCTATCCAGCAAAGCTTTCATTTAGAATGGAAGGGCAGATAAAGTGCTTCTCAGATAAGATCAAGTTCAAGGAGTTCATCATCACCAAGCCCTTATTATATGAAATGTTAAAGGGACTTATCTCAGAAAAAGAAGATAAAAAATATGAACAGTGAACAGACAGCAAACTCACAGTTACTAAGAACCACACCTAAAACAAAAGCAAACTAAAACGACAGCTAGATCAGACGACAGCTAGATCAGGAGTGGAAACATAGAAATGAAGATCTCATGGAAGGTTAGCAACAGGGGCGTGAGAGGAGGAGAAGAGGGGAGAAGGTACAGAAAATAAGTAGCATAGATGGTAGGTAGAAAATAGATAGGGGGGAGGGCAAGAATAGTATGGGAAATATAGAATCTAAAGAACTTGAGACACGTGGTCATAAACTAAAGGGGGGGAATGGTGGGGGAGGGGTGTGCAGGGTGGAGGGGAATGAAGGGGGAATAGAACTGTAATGGCATAATTAATAAAATATATTTTAAAAAATAAAAATAAAAGAGAGATTGTGGGCTCCACTGCTAAGACACTGAGACTCTTAATTTTGGTGGAGGACGCTCACGCCAGGCGCTGGGCACCATCTCCGGCTTGAAAAGAAGCCACAGCGTGATGGTTGAGAAGCCAGACTCTGAAGACACACGGGTCTATAGTTCAAATCCTGGTCCGCCACTCATCAACTATGAGACCCTGGGCCGACTGCCTAATCCATCTGAGTGTTAAATGGGTATAATGCCAATCTCCGAGGAATGTTGGAAGGATTAAATGAAATGTGAACTGTTGGGCCTAAAACTAGACACAGTGAAAGGCTCTATGAAAGAGAATTACTGTTAAAATTAAGTACTAAAACCTACGTTCCAACCCCAGTGTAGACACAAGAGAGACCAACATTGTCAAGGGTATAAAAAATTAATAGAGAAACTTCTTCTTTTCACAATCTATTAACACAGATCTCATTACAGAGGCTTTATGGGTTATATCATGGGATGGCAAATAGACCAAAACTATCTGTGGACCTCAGATACACTTCAAAGTTTTTCCCTCACCTTGTGCTTCCAACACCATTATAGAGAGGGAAGTGCCAAAGTAGGGGCTAGTCCAAGAGAATGAATGAAAATGGGAGAAGTGTATACTACCATGTTACTTTAATTTCCAAAAAATCAATCTGCCTTGGGATGGCGCAGTAAAGCAATAACAAAAACCTAGTGGCGATTAGTGTCCTAATGTATACTTGGATCCATATGAATTATAAGTTTGAACAATTATTTGTTTTTGGAACATTTTATCTTTTTATGTATTTTATATGATATTTATGTATTTTAGAACACACCACTAAAATTAATGTAAAAGTTAATATTAGAAAAAAATCTCAGAAAATACAGTTTTATTTTCTAAAGTTTCATCCCCCCCAAATCTAAACGCCTTTATGTGAAGCCCTGGCCTTTCTGATTCACTAAACATCGGTGCCGATTCCCAAACACGAACTGAAGTGACAGGAGAAATTTTCAGTGCTGTTACAGCCACGAGTATGGACCCTAATCTCACAGCCTGTCTTTGTCAATTCTTCCTCATTTCATCTTGGGAAAGAGGAAAGAGGAGAGGGGAAAGGAAGGGGCAGGAGGGCCAGGCATGTCTACTTTGTTCTGTGGCATCTAGTCCAGTGCCAGGAGCAACGAAATGTAAGTACTCCTATGTGCTCACAACATTAAAATCCAAGGAAGAAAATGAATTTCCTCATATGTATATATATGGTAAATATAGGGGGGCATATAAGGATACACTATACATTAGTTTAATCCATAAGCAGGGTCTGTGACAAACCGCCTGGTTTTGATATCTGGCTCAAATTATCAGCTGGGTGACCTGGGCAAGTTACATCACCTCTCTGTGCCTCAATGTCCTCACCTCTAAAATGGGAAAATGGCATCTTCCCAGGGTTGTTGTGATAGTGAAATCAGACACAAAGGTGCTTAGGAAAAAAACGTCTCACGCATAGAATATCCAAAGTCAATGTCGGCTGCCATCATTTTTATAGAGGCACTAGAAACAAGGGGCTTCATTGAAGAAAGTTTCATAGAGAAATAAAGAATTCCAAAATTCACAAGCAAAGTCATTTATATCAACTGCTAAAGCTGTATGTTGAAATTCAAGCATTTAATGGAGGTTAATGTTACGATCTCAAATACAGTTTGGGGGGTCATAGGGGCAGCCTCCTCATGCCCCTCCTATACCATCCATTTATTCCCCACGTCCCTTGGAGCTCAGACATCAGCTTTCACTCAGTTGAATCCCTTCCACAAAATAAATTCTTAATGCTTAACAATACACCAAAAATAAAGCATTTCTAAGTTCAGCAAAGCAGCCACTAGTATATAACTACAGTAAAATGCTCTTATTTTAGAGTTAAAAAACCTCCAAAATTCACGAGTAAATCAAGGTGGACTGTGGGTCAGAATGGAAGGGGTAGGGGAAGGAGAAGAGAAAGAAAATGGACAACAGGAGGAAAATGAGACTTCGGAGAGCTGTGAAAATTAATTCCTGAATATGCTTCCTTAACTGTAAGGGCTGTTCTCACATATAACATATAAAAGTCAGGCACTGCAATATTTAAAACGCAAGTGTTCTATCAATTTCACTTTCTAAGGCTCTTGCTGGCTCCATTAATTTGTCACTTTAAAGCATTCCAGAATTAAAAAGAAACGCCAGAAAGAAGACCTCGCTGTTATTTGTGGGTGACGTTCTTTTCCTGTTATCCACAGGCCACACACCTGGCCGGTTGTTGTTCTAGAGTCACTGAGAGAGGCCCAATACACACCTTCCCTTCCTACCACGCCTCCCCTCACTTAGAAAAAACAGAGCCAGCTGGGGTTCCAAACGGTAGACTTTTCCCTCCAGAAGGCCAACTGGCACTTGGGAAGCACCCTGCATTCTCAACTTAGTACCTCCACTAATCTACACTAAATTACTGATGGTTTAAACAAAGAAAGAAAAAAAGAAAGAAACCTGTTTCTTAAAAATAGGCGTTTTCTTAGTACCCGCTCCGGCCCCTCTCCAATATTCTATGCCAAAGGTGTGTCCCCAAGTGGAGAGTCGGCTGGGCTCTCCTTTTACACACTTTGGACGCCTCTGGAGAAAACACACCTATGGCTGGCAATTTCCCCCAGTCCTGTTTAAGTCAACATCTCAGCTGAGTCTTCAAACCCGGTTTTAAAAAACGAGGTTAATGGGCGCCAGGTGGAATGTCCACTCTCAAGCTGACTGAATTCAGGTAATGTACTACGAATTCCTGAGGGTACTGCATGCAGATAAAAAACCCCCTGCCCCCATTTTTTAAGAAAGGAGGGGAAATCTCCAAAATTACACATTTAAATCTCCACATGCTAAAAAAAAAAACAAAAAAAACCCTGCCAGAAGGATGAATCGGAAAGAAATACACATGCATTACATATTTTTATATATAACTGCAGAAACCAGACAGGAAGCCCATAGGCTGCGATAAACGTAGTTCTAATATAAATACATGATATTGATTCATATCCTTTTTTGTTGACCACACCCTCTCTGGGTGGCTTCCCCGGCTCGCCAGAGCCAAATAGCGACACGATGTCCACTAGGAGGGGGGGTCCCAGCAGTGACCCACAGAGTCACCGGCAGAGGCAGCTGCGTCGCCGTCGCCCGGGGCAGGCGGGCGTTCCGCGTCCTCCAGGGATCCCCTCCCCCGGGCCCGCCCAGCCCTGCCCAGCCCCGGAGCCCCGCAGGCCGCGGCCCGGCCTCTCCGCGCCCCCGCTGCCGCCCGCGGGAACCTAGCAGGCGGCCGCCCAGGGACACAGCCAGGGCCGGGAAGGGCGGGGCGGCCGGGCCGGCGCGACCCCCAGACTCACCATGGCCGAAGAGCCGCCAGCGCGCCCACAGCCGGAGTCACAAGGCGGCGGCAACGCCCGTTGTCCTGGTGACGCCAGCTGGGCGCCCCGCCCCGTCCCCAAGGTGGGCTCGGGAGACTGCCATTGGCGAACGGCGAGCACGTGACACGAAGGCGTGGTGCCCCCCCGGACCGCCCCCTCGGTGCCCCACGCCTGGACTCTGGGGCGGGGTCTCTTCGCTGCCCCTAACTTTGCACCTGGTCCATCATCACCCAGAGCACCTTGACGTCCCTCACCTGACAGCCGAGCAGCAGACTGGCCCACTAGAAAAGCCCTTAATGGAGTATTTATTTAAGAAACAGCTCACACAGGTACAAGAATAGAATCGTGCTAAGTGCCAGCACCTGAGGTAACCACTGCTTGTGTTCCAGTTTATCTGCTTCCAACAAATACTTATTATACTGTATTCTTAAAAATGGAAGCAAACCGTATGCACTTTTAATAATCTACTTTTTCCATTAAAATTATCTTTGAATGTCAATTCATGGAATAGCATTGTGTGTGTACACTCTTAATTTCTGAAATCAGTTGGTAATTGGTTGACTATTTCTAATAGGGTTGAAGGCAACTTCACACCCAGCCCATTACGTCTGTGAGGAAGAGACATAATCCACAGCAGATCTGACATTTCCCCTAGAATGTCTAATAGGCATCTCGAACTTAAAGCCCAAATAAGACTTTTGATCCAAGCTCCTCACTCTCCAGTCCTCCTTATCCCAGCAAAAGTTCCTGCTTGTCCCCTTTGCTGTTCAGGACAAACACCTACGAATCATTCTTGAGTCTCTCCCGGCCTCGCGCCTCACATCCAGTCCATTAACAAACGTTCTGGACTCTAAATAAACCCAAATCCGTCCATTTCTCACCACCTCCACATCACAGCTGCCATCATCTGTTGTGTTACCTGAGTCTCCACACCACCTGCCTTCCCTCCTACAGTCCACAGGACAGCAGTGTTTCAATGGCTCCTCATGGCACTCAGGGGAAAGATCCAAACTCCTCCGTGGTCCACAAGGCCCTCCATGACGGGTCCTTGCCTACTGCGCTAACCTCATCTCCTATCTCCCTTCCCTCATTCACTCCTTCCCAGCCATGTTTTATTCCCCGAGGTTCCTCAGACATGTCAAACACTTTCCCACTTACAAGCCTCAGCAACAGAGCCTTCCTGTATTTGAAATAGTCTTCCTCCATCCCTTCACCTGATGCAAATCAGTCATCTTCTCACTTCCCAGAAGCCTTCGCTGACCACTCAGTCTAAAGGCTCTCACCCCAGTTATTCTTTCTCACCCCATTCACTCTCTCTTTCATAATGTCTTGTCTTCAAAATACTTAGGACTCCTTGCAAGGATCTTGAAAATGTTTTGGCATATGAATTACTGCCTGTCTCTTCACCCTGGAATACCAGATGTCTGCCTTGTTCCACCTCTGTGCTCCTACTGTTTAGAACACCCACTCCTGACCTACAGTGGGTGGTTAACAAACATTGGCGATTGACTGATTGAATGAATAGGTGAATGAACATATCCTACAACTGGGTGGTCAGTCTGAAGATACAAATATGGTCATGACCTGTCAGAGTAGGGAGTGTAATAGAAGAAAAACTGTAATTACGGGCAATGTTTGTCTGTTTTATTAGGAGACAAACATAAAAGTAATAAAATATCAGTGTCCAGTTTCTAAACAGGGAACGCCAATGTAATCACCATCCGATTTAAGAAGTCAGGCCATAAACCTGACCACCACAGGTGTTCTTTCCCAATCTTAGCTACTACCCCCCTTTCCAAGTGACTACTATGTTAATATTTATATAAAACATTTTCTGGCTTTTCTTTTTATAAGTTTTACAGTTCATTTATTTTAATTGCTATAAAGCATTCTACTGGGTGTATATACAAGAATATGTCCATTCACCTGTCGATGGACACTTAGGTTGTTTGGGCCATTTCCTGTTCAGGACCATTATAAACAATGCAGTTAGGAGCCTTCTCCTTTGCATACAAGTGCTCACTTCTGTAGATGAAGGTTTCTCAGCCTTGGCAGTTTTGACATTTAGGGCCAGATAATCCTTTGTCCGTAGATGGGTATTGGGCAGGGAGGAGACCATCCTATGTGTTACGGGATGTTTAGCAGTGTCCACGGCTTTCCCCACTAGAAGCCAGTGGTATGCCTCCACTTGTGAAAACCAAAATGTTTCCAGGCATTCTCTAATTTTGCTGGAAAGGCAAATTTGCTGGAAAGTGATTCTCAGTTGAGAATCATGACTCTAGGGTGAATAACGGGGAGCAGAATTGCTGGTTTGTACCAAACTGTTTTCCAAAGAACTTGAAACAGGAGTGGCATCATGGGATTAGCAGAGTAGGGAGCTCCAAGAATTGGTCCCTTGCAGGGATTGGTCCCTTGTAAGAATTGGTCTCCCCAGGAAGAATTAAGGTGGCAAAAGATGGCAGAATTAGCTAACTTCTTTGGAGCTCTAGAATCTAACCAAATACCAGTGCTTATTAAGGAAAGAGGCACTTGAATTCTGCTAAGAAACATTACATGGTTTTTGCTTACCTGTCTACCATGTCTACTCTGGTTCCATCATCCCCAAAACACCCTTGTTCTATACTTTTATAGTCACCTCTTCTCCCACATCTACCCCCTAGCAGCTACTGACCTATTTTTCATGTCTATAGCTTTGTCTTTTAAAAAATATCATATAAATGGAATCATACAATGTATATAGACTTTCAGATCTTTCACTTAGCAAAGTGCATTTGAGACTCATCCATGTGGTTACATGAATCAGCGGTTCTTTCCTTTTTATTGCTAGATAGTATTCCCCTGTATGGATGTGCCACAATTTGTCTATCCATTCAGCTGTTGGAAAACATCTGGGTTGTTCCAGTTTGGGACAGTTTTGAATAAAGCTGCTATAAGTATTTCACGTTCAGATTTTTTGCGTGAACATTAACTTTTACGACATTTGTATAGATAACCAGGACTGGGATTTCTGAGTTCGAGGGAGAAATCATTCACTATCTCATCATTGAGCCTGATGTTAGCTGTAGATTTTTTGCAGGTGCCTTTATTAAGTCAAGGAGCTTGCCTTTTATTCCTAATTTGTTGGGAAATATTTTCGTTTTTTGTTGTGCCTTGTTTTACTGAATATACACAAGTGGGTAAAAGTAGATTTACAATTATAATGCAAATAAACAATATGATAATAAATAGTAATACAAGAATAAACTCTATTTTATGTTCTCACAACTGTAGACCTACTTTTGCCCACCCCTGTATATTAAATTTTATCCAGTGCTTTTTCAGAGTTCCCTCTTACTTGCTTTTCCTGTTCTGTTCCCAGTACATTGTTGCAATAAAACACAGTCTGTGGTGGGCATACTCCGACCTGGTCAACGTCAGATGTCCTTAAAGTCTAAATCGATACCTCCTCCCCCCACCTTCATCAGTTCGGATGCACTGTAACGAAGTCCCATAGACCGAGTGGCTTATAAACAGTGGAAATTTATTTCTCACAATTTTATTTCTTCTCGTCCTGGAGACTAGAAGTCTGAGGTCAGGGTGCCAGCATAGCTGTGTTCTAGTGAGGCACCTCTTGCAGGTTGCAGACTACTGTCTTCTCGTTGTGTCTTCACTGGTGGAAGGGACAAGAGAGCTCACTGAGGTCCCTTTTGTCAGGGCACTAATTCCATTCAGGAGGGCTCTGCTTTTATGACCTAATTACCTCTCAGGGGCCCCATCTCCTAATACCATCACATTGGGGATTGGATTTCAACATATGAATTTTGTTGGGGAGAAACAAACGTTTGGACCATTGCACACCCCTTCCTGGACAACACAAAGACTTTGAACATCTTAACTCCATTTTTCCCTCCCAACTTATGTGCTGTTTACCTGTATTTTTGTTTTTATTAAGCATTTTAAACCCCACTAGATATCATTTTTGTTTTATGCAGTCAATAATCACCTATACTTACATATTTATTAATATTTGTTCTTTCCTGTATCTCTAATATGCCTTTATGGATCATTTTTCTTCTGCCAGAAGAACACCTTTGGTATTTCTTTTCATGTGAGTACATTGGTGTTCTGCAGTCTTTGTATATCTGAACACAGAAGGTCCTCATTTTGTCTTCCTTCACAAAGGGTATCTTCATTGAGCGTAGGATTCTGTGTTGGTGGTCATTTTCTCTCTGTAATTGAAATATATTGTTATTTTCTCTTTGGATTTTCATTGTTTCTGTGGGTAATCATCTGTAAGTTTTGTTGTTTCCTCTTTGAAGGTAATCTCTCTTCATTCTTTAGCATTTTAAGTATTTTCTTTGGAGGGGGACAGGGAGGGCTTTGAGATTCAGCAGTTTTACTATGATGTTCCCACGTATGGCTTTCTTTGCATTTATCCTTCTTGACTTTCTTTGTCTTTTACTATTTGTGGCTTGATACCTTTTATCAACTGAGAAAAACTCTCAGCCATAATCTCTTCAAAAATTTTTTGCCCCTTTCTTACTTTCCTTCCCTTCTAGCACTTAATTTGTCATATGTTTGATCTTCACACATTCTCTACATCTGTAATTTTCTCTTTTATTTTATATATTTTCCCTTTGTCTCTTTATGCTTAATTCTAGATATCATCTTTCTTTATTACTTTGTTATATTTTTAGACAGAGGAGAAGGGAAGGAGAAAGAGAGGGAGACAAACATCCATATGTGGTTGCCTCTCATGCACTCCCCACTGAGGACCTGGCCTGCAACCCAGGCATGTGCTCTGACTGGGAATTGAACCAGTGACCCTTTGGTTTGCAGGCCAGCACTCAATCCACCGAGCTATACCAGCCAGGGCTAATTCTAGATATTTTCTTCCAGCATATGTTTCAGGTCCTTAAATCTCTCTTCAGAAATATTTAATCTGCTATTAAAAATATCCACTGAGTTTTTCATTTCGGGTATAATTTTTAGTTGTAGTCTTTACATTTTTGAAAGTTTATAGTTTCTAGTTGTCTGCCAGATTTCTCTGGCTCATCTTA